CTGTTTGCACATGGAGGATATGAAACAAAATAATTTTTTCTAGGTTATATATATATATATACTTTTGAATAACTAAAAAAATCATAAATTACTACATCAATACCATAGAATTCTACCATAATTTATCAAACTTAGTAACTAAGCTGTATTTGGGTCTAAAAAAATACGAAATTTCGAGTAGACTAAAGACTCAACCTACCTCATTGAAATCTTGGTTCAAAAGAAAGAAATGATGCTAGGTACATTAGAAAGGCTGAGAAAACCACTAGGGGACATTCTGAGCTTCCAATTGGTTATTCATGTGATATATAGAAGTAAGTGTATATAAGGAAGTGTTTCCAAAAATGGAAGGAGGTGAGCAGGGTGCCACTATGTTTGATTTATTATGTGAGCAATATCTTAGCAAATAGAAAAAATGACCTTCTTATTTTATATTCTAGCTTGTCAATATCTGTAAGTTGAGTTTCTAATTCGTATGAAACTATAGACTTAGTATTTTGACTTCACAAACATCTAATTTGAACACAAAAATCGATATTTATATGCATTTTTTTAATATTTACTTTTGAATTAACAAATTGAGTAATGTATAGTTTAAAAATTTGAATTATAATCTACAGTTTGATACCAAACTTATTGACATAAATTCAATAACATTTTGAATGTGAGTCAATAAACGAGATGATGTGGCCTTTTACCTGTGGCCCATCTGGAAAGGGTTAAAGTTAAAAATTATGAAAAAATGTCCATTAATTTTGAGTTAAAAATTACATAGAGTGTTATCAAATGAGTTAGAAGGATAAATGAAACAAAATAAATACTCACTGATGTAGCTAATTATAGCTGACTGCAAAATATTACATTTGTTTGTAATATGTAACTGAGATTCAAATTATGTAGATAATGATTCATACTTTTAGAGCTGGACGATTAGTAAAATTTGTTAATCAATTAATAATTGGGCTCATTAATTGATTACGTTCAACTACTTTATTATTCTCTCAAGATGTCAAATAAAACAACTTATAATGTTACAAATCAGGTTTCGATACCCATGATGGGCAGAGCACAGATAGCCCAGGTGTAGCTTTGTGCTTAAGAACAAACAAACATAATGACAATATTTCAAATACTTGAATATCTGAATACTTGAAAACAGTAATAATTGCTGGAAACACTAATTTTGATTAGTTGATTGTTTTCATGACATTAATTGATTTAATCATAATTTTGATTATAGGATAGTTGGAATAATCAAAACCAGTAATAATCTGATACACTAGTTGATTATTTTTGTGACACATAATTGATTTAATCATAATTTTGATTAACCAATTATTTTACATGATACTAATTGATTACGTTGAATAATTTCCCAGCTCTACATATTCTAAGTAGAGAGTTAAATGTTGAGAACAAATATACAAACCAGAAGAAAAACATTCAATAACTGAAAATCAGTACAATAATTATTACACATACCAACTCCATTATGAATAGGGGTTGAATCTTTGCTTCTGGCAGGATCATCAGATGGTAGATCATATAATCTGCTAGGCCCTGAATGTTGTGTTGAAGTGGTTTGTTGAGAATTTGGTTGTGGTCCTGAAGTTACAAAATAATTATTGTTTCATTGTAAGCACTACTGAATATTACTTGTTACTTAACTAATGTGCTTCTAAGAAATCTATGAATGAAATGAAATTATCATTAAAATAATATTAGTACAGAAATTAGGATTTACTATAGAGATATTTTCAAGAGCTGTAAGTTCAATACTAGTAATAACCACACAGCTGCATGGTATAGTAGTTGATGAATAATATTATTTAAAAAATTATCTTTACTTAATTAATGTCACCCTGTTTCCTTCATGCCAATCAATAACAAGATTAAAGCATAAAACCCCTCAAACTACTGATTTGTTTTTATGCCTTTCATTACCGATAAGGCTCACAAATTGCATCACACTGAGTACTTTCACGTTTTAGCCTATTATAACATTTAGTATAAAGAACTGACAAAAAATTATTTTCTATGTAAGATACATAGGAGACCCCAGCAGTAATTAATGAGATTAACTGGAATAATGATGGTGTTTATGTTTAAAATTTGAGTGTATATGATTCATATGTTTTTATCGATGCTGTAATCAACACAATCATGGACCCACAAGCAATGGTTTGTTTGAAGTTAAGCACAAAGCTACACAATGGGCTATCTATTCTCCACCCACCACGGGTATCAAAACCCAGTTTCTAGCATTGTAAGTCCACAGACATACCACTGTGCCACTAGGGGGCTTCTGTGTCCACTGAGGGGAACCGAACCCCTAAGTGTAGCAATGCAAATCCAAAGACTTACCACTGTCCCACCAAGAGACAAAAAGGGTAAGCATGTTTGGTGGGATTGGGATTCGAACCCATGACCCTCAGATTGCAAGTCAAGTGCCCTAAACACATGGCCTTGCCAGGCCCAAGCAACTGGGAACATAAACATTTCATATAAATATTTGAAAAGCTGATGAATTAGGACCACATTAGTAATTCTAGGGTTAACCATGGTTTGTGAAACATAAAAAGATGTGTTACTGAAGCTGAATATTTATTATGATAGATGTTGTTGGTGTCTAATGTTCTTTTTATTTATATAAACATTCTAGTAATGGCAGACTTCAATACTATGAAGTACATAAGTAATCCACAAGTATAATTCTGTTATAGTTTACTTTCATCTTACTTGAAAATTATAAAATTTAACTCATTAATTTATTTCTGATAGTTGTTGCTTCCTAAGCAGATTAGTTTTAGAATATAAATTACCTGAGTGAACAAAACTGTCAATTGTAATACCAGTATAAACTTTTAATTACTTATGCTTCTAAATTCCAAAATTCTTTTTTTAGTCAAATGCACTTACGTGCTCCTGTCTTGTTATCACTGTGTAGCTGTTTTTTTCTGTGTTTTGGATATTCAGACCGGTGAGGTATTGTAGCACTAACACTGCTGTCGGTACTGTAGGGGCTTGTTGGTCGAGGGGCTCGTTGCCGAGAGATTTGTTTCTTGCCTAAACCTGAAAGAAGTAAAACTGAAGTACAGATATTTTCTGTAATATATGATCTTATGTACAGATAAGGTATGTGAGGAACTACATTGGAATTATTTCTTCTTTCAGATGCAGGCGTCTGTTGGCACATATAATTACATAAGTATTACATTACACACATATATACCTTCTATTATTAATAAGTTAAAACTTTCCAACTTACATTTTATACAATCCTTTTCTTTAAGTTTACACTATAGAAGTAGTCCACAAACTGTATGTTGTGGCAAGTTGCGAGGGGTGTCAGAGGAGTTTCATCAAATGAAGAATAATTAAGAACATAAAAAAAAACTCAACAAAAAATATTGCAAATCAAGGTAAGTGGGTTAGGGTGTTATCAGTGACAAAATTTTGGAAACCACTGAACTACACTTTTTGTACAAGGGGTTATTGTTAATCACGTGTTTACAATTATTACATAACACATGTCATAAGCCAACCTCAGTGTAAGCGGAGTTGTGGTATACACATGCTTGGCTTATGACATGTGTTATGTAGTAATTGTAAACATGTGACATCAGTGTAAGCGGAGTTGTGGTATACACATGCTTGGCTTATGACATGTGTTATGTAATAATTGTAAACATGTGACATCAGTGTATGCGGAGTTGTGGTATATACATGCTTGGCTTATGACATGTGTTATGTAATAATTGTAAACATGTGACATCAGTGTAAGCGGAGTTGTGGTATACACATGCTTCACTGTCAAGTTAGGAAGCAGAAAGAAGTTTTGAGTTTGTAGTTTTTTGTTACTATTGCTTCTGCAGGCATTATCTTGTACGTTTTAATCTACTGGTGCCTGGTTGGATTTGCTGCTCAACATGTGAATGTCACTTGTCCAGTTTTCATGAATTGAACTCATTTTTTTTAGTGTTAATAAAGAGTTCCTGGGGTTACTTGATGCGTTATTATTAAGCTAGTCAAGACTATTGTCAATAACTTTAGTTGTACATGTTAAAGAATAAGATCATCACAAATACTAATATTTTCGTATTTTATACCTACTTTATTAATCTTATTTGTACAGATTGTTATTATCTCACTGGTAAAATGTTATTCCTTTAATATTTAGGAAAGGCACTTATTCAGTTATTTATCATTTATCTAAAGGCAAACTAGAGCTGGGGTATTTTAATACCATATGGTTATTTATGTATGAATGATTCTAAGATTCTTACCATTAGTAGGATTGGTCACCATTGTTCCATCTACCATGTAACCAGCATTCTGAGCAGCTCTGGCCACAGCACTAGCAAAATCAGCTTCAGCATAAAAGTACCCGTCTGAGGAGCTCACACTGCTTGATCGTGCACTAGTACAGGAACTGTTGCTCTGATCAGTTGTGCTCGTCCATGGAGGTAATGCTGCTTGTGAAGTTAGAAAGCCATTTTATGTAGCCAGAAGATTGGTTTTGTCCAAAACCAAAGTTACATCATATTATTTGGTCTAGATATTTCAAAGTTATAAAACTCATTTAACTTGTCACCTTTGTCAGTTATGGTATAATCTTCTACCACAAATAAAAGGCTTCACATGTAATTCTAATTTGTAAAATGATCAACCCATTTAAACATAGTGCAAATTTTCCTCAGGTTTAGGAAATGTTATGCAGGAAAAAAGTGAACTGAGGCAGTAAAGTAAAAACAAGCGAATAAGTAAACAGAACCTTTGTTCTTGAGTAAAGAATTGCTGGAGTTTTTGCAAGTACTGCTTAGCTTCAATATTCATTTATACAGACTTCTCTGGTTACTGGGGCAGATGAATAAAATGCTTGCACAAGATGAGGATAGGAGCATGAATCATAATGATGCCACACTTTTAAGTCATACAAAATCCTTAGTGTGCTATTCTACAATTTTAGATTACATAAGTCAACATTCATTCCTGTTACAATTTTAGATTACATAAGTCAACATTCATTCCTGTTACAATTTTAGATTACATAAGTCAACATTCATTCCTGTTATATATTTCCAAGAAAGACAGAAACTCAGAATGTGTGAACATGTACAATTATATGTACCACCTTTTGAAATAAGTATAACCTCACTCCAAGAGGGCATGATACAGAAATAGGTTCAAGCTAGTATAAGTATTATTGGACTATCATTGTGGTATGCAACTTTTGTCTAAACTAAAGAATTAGTGCAACTTTATAACTGGTACACATCCTGTTTGCAAGGATGTCATTAACTACATGCAGGTAACCTTTATGAAAATTTAGAAAACTTTACCTAAATATACATAAACACATATTTTTCCTAGTTATGGAAGAGTGAAATTATCAGTTCTTCAAATTGTGACCCATATGTATGTTACTGAACAGTTCAAGTGATGATATTCACTATATTTATTCAGGAATAAAACTGCTAACTAATCTGAAATCATACTGTTTAATCAAGAATACAAAATATTTTTATTAGTAGATAACTTGTATTAACAAATAATAAACCTAATCGTTTTAAAACATAAAAATTATGTGATACAAGTTAAAGTTGAAATAATATAAAATTCCAGACTAATAAATGATTTTATATAGAAGTGCACTAAAAAGCTCAAATGATCAGACAACTTATAAAATTCTTTAAACAGGATAAAAAAATAATTACCAAAATTTGGAGCATAATCTGTTTCTTCTGCTACACTTGATTCTGGTGTATGTTGTCCATTTGGCAACTCATAGTCACCTGGTTCTTCTACAGTGTACCTGTCACTGGGACCAACTTCATAATCTCCAGCTAAGATGTAATAAAGTGATGTGAAATTAGTTCCTTCTTACACCAAACATTTAATAATTATCTTTATCTTTCTTTAATTATAGAAGCCTATGCGGATGATACAAAAAAAAGGACAACTTATTAGGTGCTTACAGAAAATACATATATAATATGATTTATTTTCAAGTAAAAGGAATTTCTAAAGGCTAGTTAAAAATGTAGTGTTAGTTGCTTATAATACTCTAATGTAAGGAGACTAATCACATTTTATAAGATATATGAGTATATGCTAATTCAATGGTGTCACCACAAAGTGAACCATGAATGACACATTTAGCATCTATACATTTGATTCATGGTGAATTCCAGACAATTTTCTAGTGCAATGCTAGCACAGATAGAATTATGGTTGTAAGATATGTCACAGCCTTTTCTGAGGAAAGATATTTGTATAGAGAAATTGTTAAGTAACGTAGAGCCAGAAAATATTGTATAGCAGAGTGTCTAAGACAGTAATAGGTTCTGAAACTACAACCAAAGTCAGCACGAGTACTGAAACAACATTCTTATAATATGTGTGATTAGCTCTCGGTATTATTGTAAAATGTTTTAAATCTAATGATGCATTTTCCTAAATAAATAAGTATAGACCTAAATTGGTGAACCATAAAAATATGAATCATAGAATACTAAAGAAAATAGATGTATAACATCAAAAAGCTGAGAAATGTTTCAAAACTTGGTTTTCCCAGTTTTTACTGTGGGATGATTATTTAGAGTGTCATGATTAACCATGTATTTGTTTTCCCTTACAAATAATACTGACTACCATTTCTTTGCAGGTAAGGGTGTGGCCTATTCTGATTGGTCATCATCCTTCCACCCATTGGGGACACACTGTGAGGTTCACTGATCAAAGATGGAAGTGATGACTGAATAGCTCTATCCATTAGATGATGCTGATAATGTGTAGAACAAGATGGAGCAGGACTTGTCCTTTCGTGTGGAAAAGGAAAACCAGGAATACAAGTACCCATTTTAATTGTGGGTGTCATTGTACGATCCATGGAATTAGAACCCGTTTGAGGGGGAGTTCCCCTCATAGAAGGAACACTTTGATAACTACCAGTTGGGGACTGGAAAATTCTGGGGTTGTAGAAAGGCCAGCCCGGTATCTGGGAATATCCTGAAACCTGAAGAGAAAGAAAAAGTTATGTATCAGTTTCTAATATAATAGCAAGCAACATAAAGATATTTCCTTAATATATATATATACATATTCTTGATAAGAATATTTTTTACATAACTTAATTCCACATGGTAAAATGAGCCATCTTATGAGTAAACAGTTATAATAAATAATAACCTGCTCTAATATGAAATTGTTGTATTTATGTTACTAAAAAAATAAGATAAATTAAACCTTGATGTTAGACTTATAGCTACAGCCAATATAGTAATGTAACATAATTTGTTTTAATGATATGAAATAGAAATATATCTTACTTCTATAAGTTTCATTTTTAGATATGAATTGACTCACACTTAAAGATATTAATATAAAATTTCCTTAACGAGTTCCTGTGGTCAATATAACTAAAGAAACATTAGAATTGTATTTTGAGCTTTAATCAAAATCAAGTACAAGTTATTTCTCAACAATCGACAATAGAATCCCCCCCCCAAATCACATACGCTTATACGCATTACTTAAAAATGTGAAGATTAGTTTACCATTAGGATTTCATTTATGTTTACAGGCATGAACTTAATTGTTGAAAACAATTAAAAAAGGGGTATGTACAAAAAGACAGCTAAAAACAATTTAAAAAAATTTTCAACACATATATGTCATCCATATCTTAAATAAGAAAAGTTTCTGACAGAAAAAAGAACAAATCCATTTTGAGAAAATGGTATAAATTCTGTGAAAAATGTACAATTAATAATTTTTACATCATTTGAGGAGTGTCATTTTAGATGTTAATTAATTCAATTTAGCAGCAAATTTAGTTATACATAAAATCCAACCTGACCTGAGACTTAAGTACTCTGTTATCAGCAGAAAATGGTCCCCTGTGCACAGAAGGGATTCCAGCAGATGATCCTGCTTCACTAGGGGGACGATCTGGAGGTGGTGGGATGAGATCTGCCCAATTTACAACAGGAACATTAGGGTTTGCTCTTATGGCTTTGAGCCTCTTTTTTTTCACTGGAACTCCATGCTCATCTATGTGAAAATAGTTTAAAATGGAAAATGCAATAAGTGTCATTATAAATATCATACAACAGGTAATATTCAAAATAAGTTATGTATTATAAAGCTTCAAAGGTTGGAAGATTCTTTCAGTAAAGATTTAGATGGTCTTTAAATTTTTACTGTTAAACCACATTCTATTAGTGAAATATATGCAATGATTTCTCATCAAAGCATAACAACATAATAATAACCATTTTATCTGAAATATTACAAAATGAATCATAAAATATTTATTTCAATGAATTTGTGTTTTGTAGATTATTGACTTTATTATTTCTATAATACCTTGAAAATCATTAATTTTATCTATTCAAAAGTCTGGAAATATTTTGTCCTTCCTGCATCTCCACATAAGATAGTTAAATTCAGAGCTTTCATTATTATACAACAACATATAAGTAATAATTATAATGGTAACTACATATCATATCATATAGCCAAAATTCATATCACATTATTTTTTAATTTGCCTCAACATAGTTGCTGAACAGATTAATGAAGTTTGCAAAGATAGTTTTAATGTGTAATAAAACTGAAATATTATGGTAGTGATGAAAAAACTTGAGGTAATTGATATTTTTTTGTCACATAAACATGCGACTTAACTCGATCTCACTAGAAAAATTACTCAGAATCAAATTGAGAGAACATAATGCCGAACCACAGTAGCCAATAGTCAAACAATACCCTTTAGCAAGGTGCTCTTGCTATGGTAACAATACAAGGATGAGTGTCTACTCCTTACAGTCCCATCTTTTACCACTGATGGTATTTTATAAGCTGGCCCTGCTTGTGGATTATTTTTTCTGTAGTTCAATATTCATTACAGGAGGCTTCTGTGCACTACACTAAAGCCAAAGTTTTATCAAAGTCCATGAACTGTGCATGTACAATTATATTTGTCATAAGAAAACAGTATTAGGCTTATTGCATTTTTAAACATTATAGTCTTTATTTCATCTTGTAGGTAGCAGAATGTCCAAAATTTTCAGGGCACAGATGACAAACCTTCTGGAAATCAGGAGAATTCTGGGGAGGAGAGTAACTGAACCAAAGCTCATTTTATTTGAGTCCTTATTGGATGTACAGTCTGTACTTTTGCCTTATTGGTTTCTCTACAATGTTGAATAAAAACAACGTACCTACATCAATGTTGAATGGAACACTGGCGTCAGAGATGGCACACATAACATACAGACTTTTTAATGTATATTAATATGAAGATATAACTAAACAGAATTGGCTTTATTAACATGAACAAGGTATCGTGTTGATAATACTTGGTAACTGAAACTTAACTCTACATATTTCACAATTACCACAGGTGTTGTTGTTGTTTGAATTGAACCCTAGATTTTAGCTTTGTAGTCTGTAAAGTTATTGTTGTTCCACTGGGGATTGCCACACTGGTTATTTACTGAAATTTAAGGGGGGGGGAGCTGACATGAGAATATTCCTGTTGGCTCTACAACAAAATCTTTGAGTTTTGACCCCATTCTTTGGCACATATTGTACATATGTACACACCTGTCCTGCAATTCTTCTCATGTGATGTTAAGTTACCAATCGAGAGATAGTAAAAATGCCTAGTTTTTACTCAGATGTAGACCTCAACATAATTTGTATATTACTCAGAATAACTCTTAAGAAATTAAACATTTACCTGTTGTGTAACTTCCTGATTCACTTGCAGGACTTGCCTGTCTTGTAGGATCTAAAAGCTGTTCCATAAGGTGATCTAATACAGCAAAGAATTGCTAAGTTATTTTCTCGTGGAAACATCTATGTCATTTTACATTAATTATATCAAAATCACATTGTTGAGCATAAATATATTAAATCTGTAAAGTAGGTGGAATAAAACAAGTGAAGTGTTGTTACAGCATTGGTGATTAAACTAACAATTCCAAGTTACTTTTAATATGAAAATTCTTCTACTGTAGTAGATTTATAGTTATATTTCAAAGTTACACTATCTTGAAAATTGATTTATATACATAATTCACAACTGTAATTAGGGTAAACAAAATTTAGTAATTTACTGGATAACACTAATCAAATTTATATAAATTATAACAATGTCAGTGTGACTTCAAATGAAGCAAACTATAATAAGTTCAAAGAAACTTTCTTGTGTGCACACTAATTTATACTGTAAAAAAATTTGCTCACATTTAGTAACAAAAGTATCAAGCTGGTTGGTATGAATAAGAATACTAAAGCTTGGTACTGCATTACTCAATTAGTCATGTGTTGACAATGCTACCTTATGCGAGGTGCAAGGCAGAGAAGAGTGTTGTTCATTTGATGCATTAGGAATATACTTTGAAATGATCCCTTGCAGTTTACAACATTTTGGGGGGTTGTTGTCTGTTACATATGTGAATGTCAAGCATTGGAAAAAAAAGTTCACGGAACAAGTTTTTAACTCTTTAATCACTTCAGTAGGCTTCAACATGTTCCATATTACTACTTAAAAAATAAAAGATTAGTGCAGTGTGATATTTTAAACTAGTTGTAAAGCTTAAACATTCCTTTACAGAGACAGGATAAAAAGATGAGTAACAAAACATATCAATGGTTCATTAAACTTATGTTCTTGAGTGATCGTTTGAATATTTTCAAATACATCATTATAAACTCCTACATGAAAACTTTATCACTTTAGCATCATTACCTTCTCCCATTCTGAAAGGTTCAACATCAATCATTCTTTCAGATTTTCTGCTGGTGTCATCAGATGCTCCGCTGCTTCGTTGGTCTTTAAACTACAAACCAAAGAAACATTTATCACGAAATTCTGTTAGATTCAAAAGCTTAAAATATGTTTCCACACCCAAACATTTTGACAAGTAAAAACATGTTTAGCACTAAATTCTAATGACCAATTACTGAAAACTGCATACATCTAATGTAATTTAAAATTATAAATTGTGAGACCACTTATTCAGAGTTACAAGTATTGACACCTTCCAATATCTGAGAGATTTGCAACAGAAATTGTAAACCATAAGTATAGGGGATATCCTTTAAGCAATAAATTACTAATACATTGATTGCATGATAACTTTTTAGGATCTTCACCTTTACTGAATTGGTCTACTTTTTTTATATAACAACAGTAGCCACTGAGGAAGATACTAGACTGTATCATTTGGCAGGTTTTTAACCATTTGGTTTAATGAAACTGTTTCAGTCTTTTTGTGTTTTAAACTTAATTTTGTATGGTGTGTCATTATAAAGGTTTTTAATAATATCCTCAGTTCTACAAGTTGCAAAAAGGTATTTTGTTTGATTATAGTCAATTTGTTGAGGAGTATGTATGGAAATTGGTTCATTGGAAAATGCAATATTCAAGTTCATTCCAAAGATGCTACATTACATTAAGATTTGATTATTATGTTGGTCAAGAAAGGTGACTGAATTCACTGTTATGTTCTTTAAACCAATTCTCCAGAATATGAACATTATTGTCTTTGAACATCCCTTGTCCATTAGGGCAGAAATGCAGCACTATGAGGTGGACATGATTGGTAGTAGCAATTAGGTATACTCTGGATACTATTTGCAACTCTTCTACAGGAAACAACAAACCCAACTCGTGCCACAAGAACATCCCTTACACCAGAGGTTCCAAAACAAAAGACCCAACCTTTGCCACAAGAACATCCCTTACACCAGAGGTTCCAAAACAAAAGACCCAACCTTTGCCACAAGAACATTCCTTACACCAGAAATTCCAAAACAAAAGACCCAACTTTGCCACAAGAACATCCCTTACACCAGAGGTTCCAAAACAAAAGACCCAACCTTTGCCACAAGAACATCCCTTACACCAGAGGTTCCAAAACAAAAGACCCAACCTTTGCCACAAGAACATTCCTTACACCAGGGATTCCCAAACAAAAGACCAAGTTCTTGCAATAAGAATATCCTAACACCAGGGATTCCCAAACAAAAGACCCAGCTCTTGTAATAAAAAAATCCTTACACCAGGGATTCCCAAACAAGAACATCCCTTACACAGAAGACTAAACCATTGCTAAAAGAACATCCTTTACAGGTTGGAATCTGCTGCCTTACACCACTACACTGCTTCCAGCAGCTTGCACTGTTAAAACAATGCATGCAAGGTTAAGTAAAGAGGTGGAATTTTTCATACTTTTACTCTACTAATAGTACATACAAGGGTAAAAAAATGACTGATCATAACACATCTTCTGTTTCCAGTCATTCATTGTTCAAAGTTTATGTTTCAAGTATGACTCAAGCCATCCACACTTTCCTGTTTGTATTTGAGATAAGCAGTTTTTGGACTGCTTTTTAGCTGCCATACTACAGTGTTTGTAACAGCCTTTGCAAGATGTCACTGATGACGAAATTGATCAATTGGAATACAGTTTGATACCTGTTTCACTTTACACATTAGCCTAATACTCTTCCTTTGGTCAGTCACCAGTCATTGGTGATAAATGTTTCCACATAGCCAACATACTTCCTTATGAAAGATGTTTTTAAATAGTCAGTCAAAAAGTGGTCTTTGATAACAATAATTCTGCTAGAATGGCTTTCACTATCATGTCTTTTATCATCATCTTGTAGATTAACTACTAACCACTGACTTTATTCTGCAATCCATTTCTGTTTATTTACAAATATGGTGTTCTCCATGTATAAAATAACATAAAATTCTTACATTTGATTAAAGATTTTATGATATTTTTTTGTATAAATAGATCAAAATAAATCACTTACTGATCCAGTACAGGTCTTGTAAGATGAAGGGTTAATTAGTGTTGTTGTAGCATATGGTGCAGGAACAGAGGAGCTTCCTTTCTTGTAGAATGTTGTCATACTGTGTGAATCAACTTCAGCATAATCAGAACCATTCACTTCATACTGAAGTGGCGAGTAGACGCTACAGCAAAATATGTATGATATTACAGAACTATTAAATTTAATATGCACATCTACAATGTAACTATAGATAAAGAATCAAATATTTGAGAATTTTATACTAGAAAATATCAGGAACTTCAAGTACACTGTCTAAAAAAATGAGGCAATTTGCAGATATGATCATAACCTGGTAACGAATTTTCACAGTCTGTGTTTAGGCTATAGAGACTAGCATGATTTGAAATAAAAAGTAATTAACAGTTAAGCATTTACAACATTTTTAAATAAGGTGTGTTAAATTTAATAAAACATATAAATATAGAGCAGCATGAAACTTTGGACAGTTATAAATAGTAATATGTCCCAACACTTTTAAACTAAATAATAAACCAGACATTTATTGCAAACTATGATGATGATGATATGATGAGAAGTCTTCTGTATGTATGATGAAATATGATATTATTAAGGCTAGGAAGTACTCTAGCTAAGTTGTTACATTAGTATTACATGTTTTGTATTGTCTACTTGATGTCAAATCACATGAATACTGGTGATATGCTCATAATTCATTTACTAACAACAACAAAAAACTGCTTCATTACCATATACTATACAAATTTTGTCATGTTTATATGTTGTTTATGGAAATTAAAGACAAAGAAAACATATCATATAGTATCTTTAATACATGTATTAAAATCAATTAAAATTTGCATAATCAGAGAAATTATAATCAAAGTGCTAAACGTTTTTATCACTTCAGTTATAAAACAAACACAAACAACATATAATGATTATGTGTGATTATAATCACAAACCTGAAATATGCTTTATGAACCAAGTTTAATAAAACAAATACCTAAACTTTGTTTCCAAATGCATAAATATGAAGTAAGAGAAAGAAATAAAAGCCCAAATTACTCAGTGATACTTTTTTTACCTGGCATAGTTGAGATCATTTGCTGAAGTTTCTTTGTTTAGAAGTTTGGATTCACTAATGTTCTGTCCAGTTTTGCCATCAGTAGGATGCCAAGTATGGTTAATCCACAAAGCCTCATGGTTACTGACCCCAGCCCTACATCAAGTGTTAGCACCAGAAGGTAAACAGATTGAGAAAGAGAAACCAAGAAGTTCTGAGAGGTTTAAGTATAGCATTAGTAAAGAAACCCCAATACCAGAAAACAGAGATCTTTTTGTGTTAGACAAAATAACTTTGCAGGTGTCTGATCAACTTCAAATGTTTGATTCAGAAGAAACTGTAGTTATGTAATAAAACTTCACAGGATGTGTTTTTTATAGTAGTGTCACGTTGTTGGTTAAGATAAACATTTATTCTCAGTTTTTATTAACTAAAAATATACATAAAAACACACAAAAAACATTCTTTCCTTAACAATGATTTTCAAGACAAAATTTTTGGTAATTTTTGAATTACAAAAACTGTTTCTTTCTACACTCATATATCAGTTTGATTTATTTAGTTGTAAAACATCATGTTGCAGATATTTTGCCTATGAAAACAACATATATATACTTTATTCATTATGCAGCTAGATGTATTCGTAAAAAGTTTTATTTTCTAAATATTTATATCATTTTATACCGTAACCTTTTTGTAGTAGAAACATGCGAGTGTGTGAAATTCATATCCTATTTGATACTGATGGTTATTTCTTTATTAATTCTATAATGAATCTAAAATATATACGAGGATTGCAAAATATGAAGAGATCTGTTCCTTTTTGAATATAGGATGATTATGTCACAACTGATATCTAAGCTAACCAAAAAACTCTGAAATCCAAGCTGAGAGTATTTGTATCCTTACAGAGTTACGTTTTTCATTCCATCTGTTGAAAAGTCCTAAATTGAAGACTGACATAATACACAAACACACATTACAAAAAATAATTTTTAAATAGACTGAATATCTATTAACTCTGCTAAGACTGGAGCAGACTACTTCCGAGTCACTACACAGTGAAGATGATTAAACTTATGCCACCAGTTGAACTTATATTGTCATCTATAAAACTCGAAGTTTTACATTAAATTGAATGGAGGTATTAATAAAAGCTTACATGTTAAAAGTAATTGTACATCATTTTCTTAAAACCACCATTAATTTTAAATCAATCAAACAGAAGTATCATTCAGGAAATATAAGTTGTATATTCGTATAGTAAATCAGAAGTGCTAGTAAACTGACTGGTGCTTGTGGAAAAACGTTGAATTTATACAAATATTGAAATCAACTATTTGATTTCTTTATAAAGAATAGGAAGTGTAATAGCTTCATTCATTCAACAGATTGTATAGGACTGGCTTAATCAGAAGCTGTTTCAGTCAGTGGGCAAACCTAATGACAATCAGATAAATATTCTGGATTAAAGAGTGCCTCTTTAGGAGCAAAATGATTTTATGAAGTACATGCACAGTGTGTCGTTTACTACACAAAGCTTTATTTATTTTCCAGTTTTTATTATCAAGTTTTAAGAATGCACAGGCCACAGTCCTTTAGTTCTTACCTCACATCTTCGCTTTTGTGAGCAGCAACTGGAAAGAAAATAAACAGTATTTTCATTTTATTGTCACTTCAACAGCCACATATACTATAACTTTAAAATTATGGGTTGTAAAAAAAGTGTAACTAAAGATAATAATCCATGGTAGATACAGGATTTATCTTGGAAGGGATTAAAAGAGTTGGTTTTAACGTATCTGGAGAAACTGAGCAACACAAATGCAGAAAAAGTGGGAACTGAATGTGGTCTTCCCCTTCAATTCCAGCTAGGGGGGCTGGGGCTGAGATCCATCTACCAATACATTTTACACTTTTAAAATCACTAAAAGACAATAAGGAGCAACAGCTTCTGATTAACTAGGTTATAAAAATGTTCATTATTTATGAACTAGAGAAAATCTTAATCATGGATATTCAAACTCCCTCTTTCTTCAATAGGCATACAAAGTAACATTTACATATGTCTCCCTCTACCAGTACCACCACATTGTATTCAGAAAATCAGAACAATATATGTAGAATAGCCTGGTTTTTTTCATGCTCAACCAGGTACAATGCACCTTATAAAACTGGAAATATACTGAATGACCCAAAATTTACATAGTCATTCTAAAATGCATAACACTTTTTTTTATTCTAAATAATAAAAAATATTATAATTGATGCCATTTCTCATTCTTACTGATTTCATCCCTATCTAAGTAAAATCATATGATGCATTCAATTCTCCAGAGTTTAAGAAATCCTTTGAACTCCTTTACATCTGCCGGTGATAATAGATAACACTTCTACACGAATCTTAATACTTCGAGCATCATTAAACGTTTCTGATACTCTAAATTATGGTTTTAAATTCCATAATATACGAGTACAAAATTAATCACATGCTAATATAGACAAAGAGCATATAAAGGAAACATTTATTCAATATAAAATATCGCTGTTGAAAGTTCCTCTTGTTAAAATCCCAGGAACCAATAGTAAAATATAGACATTGAAGCAGATAGTAAAAAATTCATTCTTGAAAGAAAAAAAAATTAAATATTTTTGTTGTAGTTAGAACATTTTCCCCTAACTTTCAAAGCTTATAATTCTCTGTTGGTATTGTTTCACTGTTTATTTTACCTGTACCAACTGGCTGTGATCAATGCTGTGTTTAAGTTGCAATAAAGATACTTGAAAAGGCAACTTATTGTGATCAGTACCTGTTGTTACATGAGTAATAGAGTGGTATGTACAACCTTTTGGTAACTTACTAACACACACACACACAGGTGATTGAAAATGTTATGCTACAATGATTTTCAGCATGTAAGTCAGCAAGTCACGTGACAACCATAGCTGATATAAAGTATTATACCAGAACTACATTTTGACATTGTTTGGTGTTACATAGGTAATGTGATACCATCGGAAATTGATTGCTTCTGTGAAGGTTGTGTAATGGCTCTTTCTAGTGCAAAATGTTTGTATATTCAGATCTAAAAGATGTGTTTAGATAGTGGCTTTAGAGTCTTCAAGATGGGGATATATCTTGTACTTAATGCTATTGCAAAACAGAGGAATATGGGTCAAATTTGGGTACTAGTACCATCCAGAAAGAGGCCATAGTAAGCTTGTTGGTATGTAGTATGATCATAGTTGGGTGCTTGGCTTAATTTTCTTGACTATAGAGTTTCAGAACCACATAGCTCTCTCCTAGAACCATACTACATAATGAATATGAATAACCTAACCAAATACAGCTCTCTGTCATGACCATGCTCCAACAACATATTTATAGAAATCACACCACCTCAGACACTTCGACCTGAAGAAGGCCCACTGAAATGTTGAAAATACTAACTAAACCAACTCTAAAACAAATCAAAACAAAATATCACTCTAGTCCACATACATCATTCACTAAACATTAAAAAAATTAAGACAAAATATGTTAAAACAGAATTTGATCTTAAATTTTCAGCTACAGGTCCTTTTGTTTCCTCAGTGATATTTTAAACATTATCAACATCAATATTAGGGATAATATATAAAACTGATTTTGTCTAGTTGGAGTTTTTAGATGGAAAAACTTATATAATGAAAACAAACTATGCATGTTTTAATTTTATTACACGTTATTATATTATGGCATGATCAGATAGCTAAGTGTATTTTAATTTTTTTTACTTTACCATGCAGAAATGAAAACGGGTGTCGTAACTTACCAGGGAGGTGGGCTTCTAAAGCTTTCTTCCAAGCCATGCGACGACATAAGAAGAGGACAATAAAGAAGATGGATAAAAGTAGACACAAAATACCACCAATAAGAGCTATAAACCAGGGCTGCTGCAGTGTATCATGGATAGAGCTAGTAAGAGATGTAGATGCTGGGCCACTATCATGTTGATCGTTCAGATAGCTAGAGTCTAAAATGTGAACAGGGTTAATCAATATTGTGATTTATTTAGTACACTTATACATCATAAGAAGATTATGAGTTGTTTTTCATGTTTTAAAGATAATCTTGCAAAAACTGCATAAGAACTGATCAATTATCAAAAATGTATCAAAACAAATGTTAAGAAAACAAACATATTTTTTATAAATTTTTGCTTAGAATGAGATTTTTCCATTATCTGCTGTTCCTAGAATCAGTACTCAGAAGAAAAGAAAATTACTGCTCATAATAATATTCAAGAGTGAAATTAATCTTTTTAACTTCTGATTTTTGACAGCTTACCCATAACTAATGCTACGGGGGCACTGAAAGGTCCATTACCAACAGATGTAAAGGCCACTGCCTTAACACTATACTTGTGGCCAGCTGTGAGATTATAAACAGTAATTAAAGTTGTGGTGCCATTGGTGGTGATGTTGGAATGCAGTTGAGAAGTGTTCTTCAGAATGTGAATCTGCAAAAACAAATCACATAAATGTGTCCTTTTAGAATTTTAAGTTAGCAGCAAAGATAATACAAGAACTAATTCGTCCAGACTCTGTCTGTAAATTGACATGCAACTTATTATCCATACAAAGTTTTCTTGAATAAGTATTATAAATGTCAACATCAGCTATAATCATAAGAATGTTGTTAATTTAATCTTTATCAGTTTGAAATTTCATATGTAATATCTATAGTAGCTCGCTCTGGAGAAGCTGTATTATCTAAGTTTTTCTGTATACTTTCTGAAGAAACTTTTATATATTGAGTCTTGACTTCTTTTAATTAATTTACACTTCATGAAAAACCAGGTTAGCATTATTTGTTATGTGCGATTCTGTTAGCAAATAATCAATCGTAACTACCATACACTATCACAATCGAACATGAATCAAATAACTACTTACTACTTACTTTATGAACACTCTTTTCTTCAAAAGTTAAACTATAAATTTTTAGTTACATTAAAATGCTAACTCACCTTCTAGCTAGAGCTCATTGAATTTCAGTATGTATGTATTATGAAACTGCCACAAGTTCCCCTAGCACTGACATACAGATATTATTAATGTTGTGAAAGATTATGTAAATTAGCTTGTCACATCAGATGTAATCTCATGATCTGACCACCAAATAAAAACCCTGCCTTAAGCTTAAACAAGTTGGTTCACAAGATATAGTTAAAATGTATTACTGCAGATTACTGCTCGATATTGTTATTGATCTTGAACTTTTTATATTCAAAATATTGTGTTTTTTTTTAATTAGATCTTTTTTCTTCTTCTGGTTCTATTTCCTGATTCTTTTATTTATTGAAATAATTATTAACAGTGATATATATGTGTGTGTTGTATTGTTCTTTAACATTAGTATCAAGTCCTGGCTAGGCACAGATTTATCAACTGTGTTTTTGGTAAGTGATAAACTTTACATTCCAACTGTATATTTTGGATTTCTGTGGAAGTCAAAGTTTAATAAATTCGTTTTTTTGTTTGACCCTGGTTGTAGCAGCTGTTTGTTTTAGTCTGTTACAGTAGTACAAGCTAACATATGATGCTGTAATTCAACAGTCAGTCATATGACCTTAACAACTGATGTTGAGATTAATCTTGTACAATGTGTTTAATGTCAATATGTTCTTCAATGAGAAATATGTAAAATATTGTAAATGTGTGACATTAGTATACTGAACTGCAATCAGAGATATCAAAACTAATAGGAGTAGGGCAACTGTCTGTGTACACTATACTTTACAGGTGCCTGTTAGCATTATTAGGAGTACTAATAAGTTATCTGTATTAATTTAAAATGTAGAATTATATATCATCTTTCCTGCTACTCAGTACGCATGTCATTTGTCTAGTCTATGTGAAATAAACAGTTTCTGGGAACAAGCAAAGTCTCTTTACTTTGTTGAGCTAGTCGAGGCCAATGGTGACATCCTAGTGTAACATGAATATGGGAATTGGCACAATTTATAAATAAAAAAGAACATCAGTATGCTCAAAAAGTACATATTATAGTCAACATTTAAGAAACACGGGTACTATCGTTCCTGTTTTTAATTCGAGAAAAGTAATTAATTAATAATCACAACATTACAACTGGTTACAAGCTATAAAAATTAGAGTAAAAAGGCCTTTCAAAGCTACTATATCATAATTCTCATTACTGGTGTATAGCTCATAATTTGAGGGTGCCCAGTGATTAAATAAAGATACTAGACCTTCTCATCTCATTAAATGTACATACAGGATTGGTTTTATTTTTTTGTAGATAAACCAAAATAATTACAAGCAACAAACATACACTAATGGTATTAAGGTTTTGGACAACCAGAAATCTCTTCTCAGCATAGTTTACATTAAGTATGATGATGTTTGCACCATTCTCCGAGCTTCAGCATATCAGTTAAGTAGCATGCAGGTGTAGTGTTATCAATCAATCCAATTATATATAGTCACTTTAAGTTCATTAGTGGTCTGGAAATATTCACACATAATTCTCTCGAAGACCCAGAAAGATTAAAATTATTGGTAACAGTTTAGAACTATATATATATATATTAGATGGGGTTGGATCTGTCTATCTGAGCTTTCCAATTGCAATTGCAGTCAATACATGACCAAAGCCTGGAAATATTGTACTTCACAAAATATTTTATAGTAGTATAGAAATGTCAACTTGTTACTGTATCAGTTGTAATTTACTTAGATCAAGTTACATGAAAAAATCTAGTTTCCCCTGAAAAGCCCTTATACTTTAATTTTCTTATCTCAATGTATACATTATGTGTTTTCCAAAGTATGCAAAATGGGTAACATGGTTTAGAATACAGATTATTTTTTGAACTAAATAAAGGTTAACTGATATTTATGTTAGTCGACTCAGAGCTAACTTTCAAATAGAAACTTCTTTCTAAGTTATGATTTTGTCACCTATGGTTGTTCTTTTAATTTTATCTGCCTTGCCTCAATATGAGTGTTTATATGATAAAACCATACCCAAGTTTGTCAGACGTAATTTTTCATAAATACAATTTTTGTTAAATCTACAATGACTTTGAACACAATCAGGATTCATGTTGCCCATTATTAAGTATGTTCAAATAACAACAAAACAAGCAATAATATTGAAAATATCAAAATGTACATTCTGTTTTAACCCTTTTAATATGTAGTTTGGATATATCCGAATAAATATTTATACCCACTTACTGCAAAAACTCGGATTTACCCCACAGCTACCAAAAAAATGTTTCCCTCTATTGCAACATGCGGAAATATCCATCCGCACTTGAAACAATCGCCAAACCTGCGTGCATGTTTCCATCTGCGTTCTACACCATGAAATCTGGATGTTTATATGTCTCATCTGACTGACCACATGGTGATGCACGTTTTAACTCTCTGTGTTTTGGAGCTGATTTTATTACTTTATAAGTGAGTTACTTATGTGTTACATTTGTTATACTTATCAGTAACTTTCAGGAATTATAGTATATATCCTCTTACATGCTAATATATGACAGGAGCTTTGAACTTTCCCAATGTAAGGTGTTTCTATGTGGATAATTGACACTTTTTGATAATCAGCCTGAAAATTAATTGGTGAAAGGGTTAATGTGCTGTATTACAAAGCTTTCTATTTGTTTTCCACATGTAATATTTGTCTTCCATTATATAAGTACCCTCAAACAAACTTAACAATGGTCAGACGTATTCTGTTATTAATTAATGCATATAAAACTGAGGGATAAGGACTTTTTTTTATGCTTTCAAAACTATGGATTTGCCATTCTACAGTACATGGCCAACTCTATAATACTGGAAAAAATTGTTTTTTTTTTATTTTATTGCATAAATAGTGTAAGTGACCAATACATGGCAAACACACACACACATATTCCAACTATTATTTTCTTCAACTGTGAGGAACTTAGTTTGTACACAGTTGTGTGTGACAGAAGTATATCTAAGATATCAAACATCTTAACACAGCTTTATTATAAACTTATCATGTATAAGCTGTATCTGCATAAATATATTAGTACTGTCTGTTCTGTGTCCATGTAACTACTTTGCAGGGTGTGGATGGATCTTCACCAAATTTGGTATGGAGGTTCATTAAGTCCATTCGGGGATATGTACAAATTTTCAGTTCTGCATTTTGCATTTTGTGGTTTTTATAGGCGTTTTTTACCACTACTTTGCACCTGTAGATGAATCTTCACAAAATTTGGTATGGAGGTTCATTACATCCATGAGGAGATACATACTAATATTCAGTTTTGCATTTTGTGGTTTTTATGGGCATTTTTTACCATTACTTTGCCAAATTTGGCATGAAGGTTTGTTGGGTAAGTGCATAGATACATAAAAAATTTTTGTTTCACATTTTGTATTTTTCAGTGTTTTTTTTTGCAATTACATATAAGGGAAGCAACTTTTCAGGTCCTAAGAATACCTTTCATTAATCATGAATTTACATAACTTCCATCCAGGGAATGGGTACTCCAGCTAATATTGCAATAAATTTCTACTTACATTGTAACCTTGTAAAATTCCATTTCTATATTGAGGTGGAGGAGAAGACCAGGATATTACAGCCACTGTCAGGTTTTTTAATTTCACATTAAGATTGTCTGGTGGTGCTGATGGCACTATAAATTTGACAAAAATACAGGGATTTAGGGTTAAAAGGTGATCATGAAGGAATTAACAAATTTATTACAACTATTATATGATACTGAAGACATAAATCAAATTAATCAATATCTTGTGATTGTCAAGTGTAGCTCAATACACAACTAAATTAAAAAACAAATAATATCAGTAGTGCCCATTTTGAACATCTGTAAGGGCAAAACTTAGAAAATTGTGGTGGTTTGTAACTTTGGCATTACCCTATATAGATTTTTAGTTTTACAGTTGCTTTAGTTTATCTTATAGTGTTGAGTTACAGTATAACTGTGTAATATTTTCAGCATTATATGAAGTTTTTCAATATACAAGAACACAACATTTTGTCACAATATGTTCTTACAAGGTTAATGATGTCCTTCCAACATGAGAAGCTGAATTCAGTCAGTGAAATGCAAACATGATTTACAAAAGCATGGTAAAATAAGACTTAGAAATATCATGGTGGTGCATGATTTTTATTGTCATGCAGGTGGAGGAGGAAGAAGTTGCAGGATGGGCTAAAGAACATGTGTGACTGAAACATAGTAGTTCTACGGGGACCAGGGGTTAAGACCCAGAAAATGTGACATTTATAGACTTTAAATGGACCAATTCTGAAAATATACATGGTAAAGCATTTATATATGGCAGCTTTTAAATTATCAACAGAGTGGTGTATGAAGTGGGGAACCTGCTCCCCTTTCAATCTGTAATTATAAAAATGCATCACAATGAGTAAAATTACTCTCAGGAAAAGCAGAAGAATGCATAAAGTTTAATCCACAACCCAAGAGCTTCCAGGGCCATAAGGCAAGTCCTGGACCCTGACTGTAATGGCTGTCTGTGGCACACATTCCTTTGCTTCACTTGGTCAAATAAACCTTGGGCCTCACATTTAATTTGTCTCCTAGACCTCTGCAACAGGTATTAACCTGCCTCCACCAGGCTTAGAACTGGGAGAGGACTGATCCTCCAGTTCCTTCACTTGTGTGTTATCCTGAATGTACATTTTAAACTTTAGCCAAAACATTAAAAATTTAATAAAAATATCCAAGTCTCATTTCCTAATTTTAAAAGTTTGATAATCATTAAATATATGAAAAAACATTTTGTAAAGTTTAATTTGATATTCCTAATAAAGCTGAAGAAAAAATATGCAAGATTAAAGATGTATTATTTTCCTGAAAATTCCAAAACAACCAGAAATGAAAATTAATTACTTTTAACTACTATTGTGCCACTATTCTTAAGGTTTTTAATTTATAAAAAAAATCACATTTTATATTATTATTATGAGAAGAAATTAGAAAATATTTTATCTTAATTTCAAATTCTCGCAATCATAGCAATAAAGATATGGGATACGATGCTTACATATCATTGTTAATTTTATAATGTTTAAGCACAGTTACATATAATTAGTGTTGCTTAACTTTCTGCTTACCGTCCTCTAGAGTTTGGGCTTTACGTGAGTTGCTTGGTGGACCTTCAACACTTTTATAGAATGGAACCAGAAAGAATTCATACTTGGTGAACTTTCTGAGGTCAGTCAGTACATATGAGGTTGCAGCACCATTCAAAACTGTGATCATGTTGTATTTTTGTGATCTACCACTAGAGTCACGGAACCGTATGTAGAATCCTTCAACATAACCCAAGTTACTTTGAATCTAGGGAGAGAACGAAAAGTTACAACTTAATTTGTGAAGTATTTTAGGATATTTATCTTTTTATTTTCTTTCATTAATTTTTTTTTACAAAATTACTGTTAGGTCACTGCTTACTGTATATGTAATTTTGTACCTTTATACTATAGAGTGAATGATAAAAAAAATGTTTAAACCTTTCATTTCCTCTATAAATTTCATTATTCAATAAATAGTTACAACTTGAAGCTTTCTAAATCCAAATTGCAATATAACAGTAAATGAAATAGTTGTGCAATGTTAAGTTTGTCTTTTATCTATCTTAGGAATTGTGATAAATAACAATAATGAATATACAGAATGATCTGGCCTAAAACTACAAGTTGCATTCCTATACTGTGTTTGAACTGAACTCAGACAGATGGTAGGGTGATTTGATATTAGACAAATTCTAACTTTTAAACCTTTTCCTACTCTTTAGAAAAGTAAGATAATCTGTAAATCAATAACTAGAATCATATAAGGTGTCCCTTTAGTGGTTTAGTTCATCAAACAAATTCCAGATGGATAATGGGCTAATATTTAAAATAACCCAAATTTGCTTATGAAACAGAGACAAAATGGGTAATGAGCTAGTGGATATATTAACAAGCTCTTAACTTCAGATGGAAAAAAAAATTCTGAGGAAGATTAAAATTGATACTACACAAGAGATACTAAAATACAATATTTTTCATTAAGTTAAAAAAATCATTTAAATAAGTAAGGTATTACAGTTTAGGGTTTCAGTTAAGAGACTTCTGATAGTTTACTAACCTCCCACATAAGCTTCACAGCTGTTGAGCTTATGGCTCGAGCATCTTTCAACTTGACTATGCTGGTACTGAGGTAATAACGGGCTTCTTCAAGATCATATTCAGGTAAAATATGTGATGGTAAGCCTGGTAGAAAAGCAAGCAGAGCATAATACATATATTAACATCAAGAATAATAGTACTTTATATGGAAAAAGAAATTGGATCACCATTTAGAATAAAAGTACTATGGTAATGTATTTTAACTTAAATCTGAAAGGTACAAAAACACCAGCAAAACATGCATCAAACCATAAGCATAGGTAGTAATATGGCACTCTTTATAAAAGCATACAATATTATGAGAATATTGTAACAGAACTTAAACGTCTTGTATTAATAAAACAATGCACTTAGTGTTAAGAAGCATTGTATTGCCTCTCCAGACAATAAAATGCTAAGAGTGTTGAAACTTTATGTAACTTTTAATCATTTGAGATTATACTTATTGCTTTCATATTTCTGAGAAATTCTAATTATTTCAACTCTGCAGACAGATAAATGTAAAATAAAGATAAGGCTACATTTGCCATATAGTATAGCATGTTTGTCACATTTGGATAATTGATTAGTCTCTGTAATATCAAAGAAAAATAATTATACGTATGCTGGATGAAATATGTTAATGACCATAATTTGCACTCTTTTCTCTTCTTGTATTAGGACATGGACGTGTGCTTAGCATACTGAACTATAAATTTAAGGGTCCATGGCTCTTGGATGCCCTGTTGCTGTACAAATGTGCTCATTACTTTGGAGTCATAGATGCATAATAAGAGTAATGATGAAATCCCATTATTCAATTAAAGTAGCCCAAGTGTTATTGGTGGGTGCTGTTGACTAGCTTCCTTTCCTCTAATCTATCAGTTCAAAATTAGCAATGACTAAAACAGATAGCCCTTGCACAAAATATCCAAAACAAACAAACAAAACAGAATTCCTTTATCCTCTATAAGCACACTGGTACAAAATAGAAAAACAAGTCACTGTCTAAGACTAACCCAGAAGACTCAAGGAAAACAAGGCACTATTTAATACTAATCCTGGTCACTCAAAGAAATCAAGGTACTGTTTAAGGCTAACTCTAGAGAAACAAGGAACCATTTAGGGATAACTCTAGTCACTCAAGGTGTGGATATGCCACACCATTTTCAGTCCATAGATGGATAAGAAAAAACAGAATAAAGAGCTAATGTGATTTGAAATCACAAGAAATGATGATGATGATAAAGTAATCACTCAGACTTAGTACAGATAAAAAAAAATCAACCAGAACAGCTTATTTTCAGCATATTTTGTTGAAAATACTTACACTCTAGTTCACAAAATACTGTAATAACTTAATTTTGATATTTCAGTTTATTATAGCAACAACTTTAGCTGAAAATGGGTAAAATTCTGCTCATGACAAGTATTTAGTAAACTCTTATTCCAAAAACTAGTAATATTTTAACACATAAAAATGGTCTATGTTCAGTATCAAACTTACCAAGAGTGCAAATAACATCTGAAATCTCACTTGGCACACTTAGTCCATGAGAATTCTCTGCACGAACTAAGAAAACATAGTGAGAATCTGGTCGTAAGTTGTGTACAACAAAACTTTCTCTCTTCACACGACGTGCTGCTACCATCCAGCCTCTTTTCAAATCACTACTGTAGTATTCAACTAGAACAGATTGTTAAACATAATGGCATGAAAAGTGAAATACACAGTTTAATTACAAGATAGTAGTGCACATACTGGAACAAAGAAATTTTATTCAAAACTATGAAACAATCAAAGAAATGATTCTTCATAGTATATTTTAGCTAATTAAAACTATCTTAACGTCATTTGAAATACTTAAGCTTTTTTTTTATTAATGATAATTTACCATTATGATTTAATAACAGAATGTTAGTTATTAAAAGCTCAAGTAATCGAGTACAGAGACAACAACAACAAGTTGAAATGTAACTTATACTCATATAAAAGCTTTTTTATGTACAAGGCTGTAAAAAGCAATAATTGTTAAGGAGAGTATCAGTGAACTGCCATACATAAAACTCACTATCTCAGAAATATGTTTTGATTTGCTTGAATATTTCAGAAAAAAAAAGCAAAAGATTGTGTGTTATAGGTAAATGTAGCTAGCTTATCAGTTACAACCTAACAACAACACTACTTGTGAAAGATGATCTTCATGAATTGTTAATGTTTGCTTCTCTTCTGTCACTGGGATCATAACTGTATATATATATATATATATATATAAACTTGTGGAATTTTTCTTTGTTTTACTATATATTAATGCCTGCAGCAGAAACAAATTGTGGAGTGAAAATACAAAAACTTCTATAGGCACCAACCAGTATATCCAATAAGTGGTGAGTCACCAAGTTTTGAACTCCGTAGCCATCTCAGCGTGATAGCTGTTTCTGTGACATTGATTGCAGTTGGTTTACCAGGAGGACCAGGGAAAGTTGATGGGTCAAACATTCGATGAAAGATAGCATTAGGATTCCGAGGAGCTATAAAGATAAAACACAAATGAATATTTGTATATAATAGTTAGATTGCAGATATAAAACTTGGCAGCTAAATTAAAATGTGAGGATGCAATAAAAACAAGTTTTGATTGGTTATTTAGAATTTATATACTAGAAATGTTTTTTATGTATAAACATTTATAAGTTAGTTTAAACAGATAATTCAAAACAAATTGGCAAAAATATGTTAATTTTTTGGGCCACAAAATATTTGTGATGTTTTATATTTAAAATTATTTAAGCTTTTCTATGCATGAAAAAATATTAAATTGAATTGGTATTATTATAAGTAATTATATGCTCTAAAACTAATACTATCCACTCCCTAAAATGTCAGTGTCACAAGATGTTATTTGTTTGGCCCATAAAAATAATATGATAAAATTCAACTTCTAAATCCACAAGTGTACATCTCTGTACTAAATAACTAGATAAACATGACTAATATTAATTAAATAACTAAGAATGTAACTTTTACTATTATCCCTTTAGAGGATAGAAGAGTAAAAGAATAGCTTTTTATTCACATTCAACGGACAAAGTAGCACTCCATGAAGTCTCTCCACTTTCGCTGGAAGCAGTACAAGTGTACAACCCAGAATCTAGTGGTTGTAAATCTAAAAGAAATATTATTATTTTTTAATAAATTTTACAATATAAATATTTAGAAACTTTCAATGTAATCATAGTCATAATTGAACATTCTTTTTTTTTATATTTATAAGTACCTTCATTTAATCTAAAGGAAAATCACATGGGGAAATAATGTCTTACTATAATTTGGGTTAAATGTTTAACCTGAACTTAAATGTTTAACACCATAAAGCTCATATTAACTTCATTTGTTTCTAAATTAAAAGGTATAGAGATATCATATGAAGCCTTGTCTTATTTTTTTGATTTACCCCTGTCTAGGGTTACAAATGAGGGATGAGTGGTAATTGAACGATAGATTGGGCTTCATATTTATTTTCAGTGTTCTGTGATCTTATTCACCAAAAGGAATCACCAGTTAAAAAAATATTAATAAGATATTCATGTAACACTAACCATCAATTTGTAGGGTTCCACTGTCTAGAATAGAAAACCTTGGATTGTTAACATCAACAGAAGCTGACTTAAAAAACCACTGGATGTTTGGACCTGGAATTCCTTCAGCTTCACATGGCAACATAGCCATGGTATTCTGGGGCAGGGTTTGATTAGCAGGTCCTAACCGGATGATTGGAGGAGGTAGATCTGCTACAGCTACAATGATCACCATATTCAAGTTAAAAGCAAGTTCAAAATGAATCTATTAAAATAACACTTGAATATGTACACTATATTTTAGGGCAGGAAGCCTTACTGATGCTTGATCTTCAAAATGTGGTTCTATATTTAGTACTGTGATAAAATATTAACATAAGAATTCAGTAATTTTGTGGTATTTAATATTATTTCTTGCTTGTTAAGAGGTTTTATTTTCTCAAAAGAGAAGGTAGCACTTTTCCTTCATGCTGGTGAAATATCAATTCTTTGTACTTGTATTTAGTATATTATATAAATTATTTGCAGATTAATATTATAAGAAATTTCACGATTCTGTTGCAAAAGATGGAAAACTGTTAAATGGACCTAATATTCTTCAGTAAGATATTTCTTGTGTTCTTAGATATTGTTCTCATACATAAGAAGGAGATTAAACTTCTTGAGCAGAAAATGTTTTGATATATCCTGTATTTCATTTTGAGGTAATTTATACAATGCGTAATACCACTCAATTACCAATGACATCCAGATGAGCTTTTGTCATTGTTGATGCCACAACAGATAAAGCTGAGCATACATAATAACCCTTATCTTCTTTGATGACACCAGAAATGATGAGAGTTCCAAGTGAGGTGACTGAAAATCTACCATAAGAGTTCTCAGGAAACATCAGTGCCTAAAGTTCAAGAAAAATTGTTTTAAAGTTAAAACCATATTTGCAATCTCATAGTGGTACTTAAACTCTACAAGTCTATCTAGGAGCTTATAAGTGAATACACTTCAAAGGATGTGCTAATATTTAATACAAGTTTTAATAGTTGTAAAGAAAATTAATATCTTATAGTTTTTTAACCATTAACTAATATGTTTTCTTATATAAGCCAAATAAATAATTAATGATTGCCTATTACCTGGTTGCCTTCTTTTGTCCAAAATATAGAAGGAGGTGGGTTTCCAGATGCTACACATTCAAATTTTGCTATCCCATTTAGACCAACCCGTTGATTTTTAGGTTTCACGGCAAAAGATGGTTGAGCTGCATCATTAAAAATTTTTAAGTTCCTTATTGTCAAACAAGTGTTTAAGTAAAAAGAGGACAATGAAGATTTTAAACTTTAACTAATTACTTCTGTGATGAACAGAACTGTAGAAAAGCTTTTTAAGAAAAACTGTTCATTGTTATAACATCTAATCAACAATGCTTCTTATAAGATAATGAAGTACAGATATAATATTTTACACAATTAAGCAATAATTGAAAGCAAACTTGGTTCCCACTGCAAAATTATTTGTGGAATGAGCTATAATTTGTGCTGCTAGAAAGTAGGATGTAAAATATTATTCTGGCATCAAAGTACTATGATTACAAACCACAAAAAGTGTATAAAGACTCAATGATATTTCAAACTACTTAAAACAATATAAGCTCTGTGCATTGTTCTTTAATGAACAATGTAAAGGTGAAATTATTGTATACCTCTGTTAAGGTTTTATAATATTTCTTTATTCAAACTGTGGAAATCTAAGATACCAAAATGGTTCAATTATTTCTACTTCTTTATAATCTCATTTTAAACTTAACTACAGCCTGGATTTTTTTTTCTGCAGTAAGTAGTAGGCATGCATATATTACGGTGGCAGTTTTATAAATTCAGATTTAAGACCTAATAAGATTAAACTCACTGAGTTCACATTAAACTGGGCTGAGTATCTCTTACAGAATTTGAAAGGTGTGTCTTAAAACTAAGCTTACACATCAAAGTCAACTAATTCACAACCTTTTAAATTTTCTTCAGTTCATAAATACTTAGGATCCATTTATTTGTAAACAATATGCCAGAATGAGAGGTACTTTCTTCTCTACAAGATTATGTCTGATCATAAAGTTAAGAGTATGCTATACAGAACATTGTTCATAACTTATGGTAACAATATGCATATCTAATTACTTTGCTCCTTAGCATCTCCTAGACCTGTAACTACACTGACTTAAAGCCCTGGCCTTCTTGTTGCAATTCCATTGAACTGTGGTGATTTTCAGATACAGATGGTGCTTCAAAATGACCCTTTATGAATGGTTAAAATACAGGACTTTCTATATGAGGATGTACTATTTTGTGATCGTAAAAGCATGCAAGGCATGAAAGTTTAGCATTTCAAAGAAAGGGATACCATATTGGTAAAGCAAGAAGGCTAATCCATGACTTGTTAGCAGTTGCACATTGAAAGTAATAAAAAAGTTAAACATTTTGTCACTGGAAGTAATTGAAGAAAGCTGTAGTCCATTGCAGATACAGAAGGAACCTCTGTTGAAGCTGTAAACAATTCACATTGATTTATGTCTACAAGAAGGAAGAAATATAACAACAATGTTCAGAAGGTGTACATAAGTGTATAGCAGAAAGGAAACCCAAGTATCACAAGGTGTACAAGTTGAGTTGCATCTGGCATGTAAAAATTTGAAGTATGTCATCTCACTAGATAAAGCATATATCTGCTTAAGTGTTTGTAAAAGTTTGGAAAATTTATCATCATATCACAACAATTCAACATTATACAGATACACCATAAAAGTATTTCCAAGGAAATTATGGTGGTTGCAGATTATAACCATAATGATAAACTAAGCATCCAGAGAGATGAGATAAATGTCAAGATGAACTGTGCATACTGTTATAGGCTATAATTTCAATGTTATAATTTAGTTGTTTGTTAGAAGAAACTGCTAATCATGATGATGACTCTAGATCTATAAAGTACATGATGATGCAATAATCTAGAAATTTCGTGGAATATTGAGAAACATGAATATATTATAAATACAATTAATCAGTGTTTGATGAATCATTGAGAATTCAGCCAGTCTAAGAGTTCAAATCAGAAAAGTGGTTCAGTGACATTTATGGTACCTATTCAGTTACTCGAACGATTAGATAGCAAATTAGGTCAGTTTATTTGTGACTTAGGTGTCCTTACCATTAATCAACGAAATTTCTGTTAAATGTTATTAATATCAGTGTACTAGGCCTACGCTATTTACAGAAGTATCTCTTATTTTTTTTTTTAATTAGGCCTACGGGTGAAAGTGACTGTAGCAAACGTTAGAGAAGTAAGTTACTTTATTATTGGTACAGGAACTGGATCTCACATTATTTTTACCAAATAATCCAAACAGAACCCACCAACAATATAACATCATACACCAATTCAATCACTTTAGCGTGCTGACATCACTATACCAAGAGAGAAAAAGCTATCTTATTTTATGACTAGGTGCCAATAAGATATCAGAACTAAATAATCAGCTACATATCCAAGTCAAAAAGTACAAACGGGAATGCATGCTATACCATTCAAATTTCAATGACATCTCTCGTATACTTCTCTGTCTTTGGTTTCAGAACGAGTACTCAGAAGTTGTACTCTACACACAGTTGATGAATTCAGGAAAGCATGTAATCATCGACTTTCGTGTATTGTGCAAAAGCCTTCTGCAGTGCAAATTGTGCTGCGTGACGATAATCTATAACCACAAAGACATCATCTATGTTGGCCTGTAGTTTTATTTACTTGTATTCATTTTGTTACACACACACATATATATATATATTGGTCAGTAAAAAAACAAAACAAAAAAACTTGCGACCGCAGTGAATGCCGTGTGCCAACTTAGACACGATTGCCATAGATTCGCCAGCCCTGGCCTAAGCTCTCACAACTGCATTATTACCAAATATCAGGAGTATCACTCTGCACAGGTTGTTTCCAAAGTATATAATTCTATTTTACCTGCAAAAACATGTTTGTTACGAATAGGTTACGATATCAGAACAAAACAGTAAGATATTGAACAAAAGTTATGGCTAATGTAAGTTGATAAGACCCCACTTACAATGAACAGTTAGAGTTGCTGATCCTGATGCTATACCAACGGCATTCTCAGCCTCACACATGTAAAGTCCTTCATCTTCTGTTCTAACCTGAGTGATTCTTAGACTTTTGTTTTTTTGAATTTGAGCTCTAGAAATATAATCAAGAGAAAACTTTATGTTTTTAAAACATTAAGTAAATGCATCAGTGAAGCCTGTAAATGTTGACAAAATAAAATCGCAATCTACATCAAACAGATTTCATATTTTAACGAACAGCTTTCTACATGGACATCATTGTTAAAAAAGTTTCGATATTATTAATATAATCTATGAAGTATTCATTTTAGTTTATCAGGCGTGTAACAAATTTGCGTTCAACTAAGATATTAAAAACAAGAAGATATTCTGGTTAGAATGAAATAGACAAATATTCTATGAATTAAACAAATACCTCAAATTGTTGAAATTAACTTATTCTTATATTTGAATTCTAAATAACATTCTACTCAAGAATAGAACATTGTGGTCTAGCTTGAAGTTTTCTTTCAAACATTAGCCTGTAATTACTGGTATATAATAAATTATATTCCAAACAAATATTCCAGTTCGTATATAATACATAATACCGGAAGTACCGGTGTACGAAACAAATAACACTCTACGATTTTGTCAAGATCACCAGGAGTAGTAACAGGCCTTTAAAATTATTTTATAAACTTTATTTCTCCAATATAGTTCTTTACGTGATTATAAATATAAACAAGTTCAAAAACATGGATTTTTTATTCTAACAAAAATTTAAATTTTAAGTCTTCGCTGACTATGACAAAATATAACACGAGATGGCACTAAAAGCATACATGGTCCTATCGTATGAAATTACCAATGACAATGTTCTGTGACAGGTAATGATATTCACGTTTTATAATATACAAATATTATAGTGACTTTTGTTAACAAACGCTTTACTGTTTCAAAATGACATGGCTAGGAACGTTAAATATTATATTTAAATTCCAAATATTGCATCAACTTCATGTATTGAAATTTATATGGCTGTTTGTTGATAATCATGACCATTATTTACGTTTGCTTGTTTTTGAATTTCGCGCAAAACTACACGAGGGCTATCTGCGCTAGCCATCCCTAATTTAGCAGTGTAAGACTAGAGGGAAGGCCATCACCACCCACCGACAACTATTGGGCTACTCTTTTACCAACGAATAGTGGGATTGACCATCACGTTATAACGACCCCATGGCTGAAAGGGCGAGCATGTTTGGCGGGACGGGGATTCGAACCCGTGACCCTCAGATTGCGCTTTATTTACGTACTTACTTAAAAAAGGTATGATACGTTTAATCAGGTTTAAAATTCGATCTAAACAACATTGTTAGTTTACTTCAAATGGAGTAATTAAAAAAACTTCGTATATATTATCACGTTCAATAAATTTAAATAATTTCTGATGTATAATGAGTTAATCAAAATATATTCAGTTTCATTTTTGTGGTACTTCTTTTAACAGGGAAGTCAAGAATGACTTTATCTTTTCAAATACATTTTATATGATTATTTTGTATCTCCAATGCGCCAATATATTTGCACTGTAAAAGAAAAGTGGAGAAGGAGGTAAGATTATATTTAAATATATGGCTGAAAATGAGGAAAACACCCCTAGTTACATCTATGAACAAGCTAAATCGTTGGGTTTCAGTATCTAAACCAAATATTGAAGAGGTATGGCTTTGTCTTCGTACAATATTATGCAAATTATAATCAGTGATATACCTCGAAAGTTAATCCTACATAGTTGCTTGATTAAGGCACAATTTCAAAACAATCACATATATATAATAATCGCCCCCTGTGGCACAGCGGAATGTCTGCGGACTTATACCTCTTAAAGCCGGTTTTCGATACCCGTGCTGGGGAGAGCACAGATAGCCCTTTGTGTCGCTTTGTGCTTAATCACAAACAACAACTAAATAATAATCTTTTAGACTGCAAAAGAAAAATATGTGAGCCGAATGAATGACGTTAAAATAGCTTATCTGTGTTAATCCGAACCCATCTTTTTCTGGCACAGGTCAACCACTTGAAGTGTCGACTGAAATTTCTATTATACAATTACAAAAACAAGTACTTAGAGTACTTTAAAACTAATATTAAACATATACACAAACACACACATAAACACACAAGTACACGAGAATAGGCTTTCTTTTACAGTGTTTCCTAATGTCTTCCATAAGTAAGAACCATAGAGGGAGAAGAAAAAACAACAACAAAAAACACAACAAATAAAAGCAGACGGCTTCAGTACAAGTTAAGATATGAATATGCACTGATATGTACCAGATGCATGCATATACAGATTATCAAACATGAAAATCATATGTTTGTTGGTTGAAAATAAACGAATTCATTCAAAACACTTCCTTAGCAAATTATTTAGTATATATATATATTTATAAGTGTAAAGCTAGGCAATTAATCATCAGTGCTGTGCTCGTCGCAAGGATCAAATCCAGAATTTTAACGTTATTGGTCCTCAAGATTACCGCTGAGCCACCGGGGATATTATTTAATGAAACAGCCGAAAATCCACACCAACCTTCCTATAGGCATTTTCCCATCTCTTCTGTGCCAAGTAACTGTGGGTGTAGGGTCACCGTCCACGAGACAAGCAATGTCTACATTTTGATTAGATAACGCCAAGACATCTTCTGGTTCCTTGATAAAATACGGCTTCACTACAGCAGAAAAACGAAATGTCATTAAACAGGATAACATAGCTCTAAATACTATTTCAGTAAACATGCCTTGATATAGCAAGTAATTTATAACTAAGGAAAAACTGTTATGCATATTAAATCGGGCATTAATTGTTTATTAACTACTAGAAGAATGAAACTATGGTACAGTAGTTTCATTAGAACTTCTGTGCAATGTTATTTAATGATGAGATTATACCATGAAGATAAATTTGAGTGAAATATTTATCGTATCAGATGTTACTATACCATAGATAATCCTATTGAGAAAAGAAAGACTAAAAACATATATATAAAACAAATATTCAAACTTAATACTAAATATATTTATGTTTTGTAATAATAATACCAAAAGCAACAAGTTTTGGATATAAGTATTTTTGTATTTATAAACTTCTTTCGAGCTACCAATCCGAGAACGTGATACAAAGTTGATCGTCAACATGTGAATAAATGATCTTCAACGAGCCTAAAATAATTTCCTTCCAATTTAAAAATCTACTTAAATTACGTATAAGTTAAACAAACGATTAAATCGTTCCCAGATGTTCACGATGCGATGAACAGAACTCAAAACGCAAGAGATGAGGCGCTAGAGTATAAAGTACAGAAGGAAATTTGTAATAGTACAGGATCTAGAGGAGTATATAAAAAGGGTGATAATGACATGGAAATGAATGTGTAGTTGTAACAGATCAATAGATAGAAAGAATAATAAATGGATGGACGAACAAACAGATAAAATAAGTTATTCATAAGAACAGGAATAATCATGACAAGCTAGAGAGCCAGATTTCTCATTTGAATTGCACAAACAGGTTTGTTTACTTTGAACGTATACCAGCTCAGCATGTTTGTTCAAATATTGGTGAGAGTGTTTCAGACAGAATACCACATGTGGCATAACACATACAAGAAATGTAGTGCGTTAAGTTCACTAGGATTTAACATGTTATACTACAGCTCCACAAGAGTAGATTTCAACCTATGTTTACGGTAAACATTTCTGTAACAACACAAGCCTATAAATGTTGTTGCCTTTCAGCATGAAGCCAATATTTTACATAAGAGGGGATTAAGCAAGTATTAATAAATCATATTAATCCCACTCCCCTTTCCAACTTTATGCATCAAAACATGGTTTTTTAAAGTCACGGTTGCAAGGCTGAGGAAGGTATTATCTATTTGAAGCATTATGGAACACGTTTTGAAATGGTCTCCTGTAGTTTTAAGCATTTTGGAGGTTAATATGTGTATTTGTATTTCATATTCATGACAATGTTACTATGATCATATGTCGTCGTTTCTAATTTTGAGCTACTGACCAGAGGGAAGGCAATCAATAGACAGCTCCCTTCTATCCACGCTAAGGGGATTGAGTGTTACTCTTATTACACAACCATAGCTTAAAGTGTGGAAAACATTTTAGGAGATTGCACGGATTCGAACACGGTTCGCCAATTCTGATCTCCATAGCTCAACCATAGGGCCAACCCTGGCCCAAGGAGTAAATGTACTTTATATAGGTAGGCGTCAAGTATTGGAGAAGAGTATCGTTGAATAAAAGCTTAATTGTTTAATCACTGCTCAAAGAAACGGCATCAACAACAAAAATATACGTGGATGACACTCAAACGAAATTTAGGTTGTATGACATCTGTTATTTGTTTATTTCACTCTCCGAAACACAATGCGAAAATAGATATGAGTAGTGCCATCAAAATAGCAACACGAATTGACATTAACATTTTATTTAAATAATTTTCTTGTTACAAATAAAGATCAAAGTAGGAGGTTTTAGATATTACAGGTTTTTAACTGTACAAACAAACACCTAAGGGTGGGGCCACCATATCAAACAGCGATTATTTGTAATTTATTTTGAAAATACGACGAGTTTGAGATCACACCTTAAATGTCATAATTGTCGACGTTGTTTCAGGGAGAGTTGGTTGATTGTTGTGTCGAATTTCGTGCAAAGCTGTTCAAAGGATATCTGCGCTAGCTGTCCCTAATTTTGAAGTGATAGATTAGAGGCAAGATGCTACACACCGCCAACTCTTGATCTACTCTTTTATCCACAGTTAATTTTTTTTGTAGTTAGGCACAAAGCTACACAATGAGCTACCTGTGCTCTGCCCACCACGGGTATCGAAACCCGGTTTCTAGTGTTGTAAGTCCGCAGACATACCGCTGTGCCACTGGGAGGGGGGCACACAATCTTGATCTACTCTTTTACCCACGATTATTTTTTTTGTAGTTAAGCACAAAGCTACACAATGGGCTATCCGTTCTCTGCCTACCACGGGTATCAAAACCCGGATTCTAGAGTTGTAAGTCCGCAGACATACCGCTGTGCCACTGGGGGGGGGCGATGTAAGAGAAATCAAATCAATAAAAATAACTCTATGCCTGTTTGTAATTAAGCACAAAGCTACACAATGGGCTATCTGTGCTCTGCCCACCACGGGTATCGAAACCCGGTTTCTAGAGTTGTAAGTCCGCTGTGCCACTGGGGGGCAAAAACAACTCTACATCGCATGTCTACCCTACTTAGAATGGAAGCTGAGTGGAAGAATATAAAGAAGAGAATATAATAACATCAACCACGCTATATCTGCTATATCATGTGTCGACGTAGCCACTCGCCCAATTCCAGGACTCCTTAGGCTGGCTGGGACACGATATGCCTAGGTTAAAGCTAACGTCACAGACTAAAATAATAATATCTAATGTTTAAAGTGTGTCGTAAAGGTAAATATGTTTAATTTAAGCGCATTCATTTAGTTTAATTGAGGTTTAAACTGTTTTAAGAAAACGTTATACAGGGTATTTTTCACGCTAAGACAAACGCTCCTTTTAATTCGTGTTATTTGAATACCGTAGTTGCCATGAGCAACAGTGTAACGTTAAAAAAGATTGAAAAAAGCTTCTGAAATATAAGTAATTTTTCCTCCTTTTATCGAAATGTGTAACCCGAATAACAAATAGATATAGCTAAAATGTGATAATTATAAAAATACAAAGAAACAAACGAAAAAAAAAGGAGTTCTGGGTTTAACGTTTTCGTTGTTACTCCCAATAAAAGTCGGTTGGTTGAAACGTTGATCACACAACCAATTTCTCTTTGGTAATTCCCCTTTTTTTATTACATGATTATTTTCTGGCGCCACCTGTTTGCAATACGTTGTAAAAATCTAGTTAGATATATATTTTTCAAATCATAAAACATCATCTTCTATATAAATAAAAGTTATTGTAAGAAACATAGTAAAAGTAATAATAAAAAAATATTGTTGTGAAAATAGCGGGGAGTAATAATAATAAAAATTATTGTAAGAAATATAGTAGAAGTAATAATAAAAAATATTGTTGTGAAAATAGCGGGGAGTAATAATAAAAGTTATTGTAAGAAACATAGTAAAAGTAATAATAAAAAAATATTGTTGTGAAAATAGCGGGGAGTAATAATAAAAGTTATTGTAAGAAATATAGTAGAAGTAATAATAAAAAATATTGTTGTGAAAATACCGGGGAGTAATAATAAAAAAATATTGTAAGAAACATAGTAGGGACTAAAACTTCATAATTTCTTTATTTCTCTCTATATAACACAAAATTGACCCAGAACAGTGAAACGTATCTTCTCCTATCGCTAAACTTTTATTATGAAACAATATTTCTGTAAATTTTCAAGTTCCCAAATACTAGGGTACATTTTCAGCTGTTTAAACATTTTGTTTTCCTATTGAAGGTCGTAATTCTTGTTTTTAACTCATTTACTCTTGTGCTAAGCCTAATAAATCTTGGATAAAACTTACTCTTGCACTAAGCCTAATAATGGATAAAATTGGAGCAACTTTCAATTTCGTTGAATTTCTAAAACAAAAAAAGTATTCAGGCTGAAAGAAACTGGATAAAATATAAAATAACATTAAATTACGCAAAAAAGAGAGAAAATAACCAGCATAATAGGAGCAGTTATAATTTGTTGGTAAAACAATAAATATATCAAATATGAATTACTTGTGTAATATTGAAAATTATAATAAATAATTAAAAACAACGTTTACTATTTACACAATTAAAACTTTATTGAAGCCGTAAGGCTTCCACTTTAAAACAACACTCCACAAGTACAAGTTTCGACGTGATCTACGTCATCTTCAGGAGTTACTTACAAGTCATGCTTTATACTTTTACCCCTTTTCGCATTGCTTCTCATTATTTTCACATTTCTTTGGTCTACCTTTTTTATTTTTTCATTTTTTAAAATAATCATTATAATATATCTCGCCATATATCAACATATTGGCTTGCTGGTCCTTCCATATATCAACATATTAGCTTGCTGGTCCTTCCATATATCAACATATTGACTTGCTGGTCCTTCCATATATCAACATATTGACTTGCTGGTCCTTCCATATATCAGGCTCGGCATGGCCAGGTGGTTAGGGAGCTCGACTCACAAACTCCCACCAAACATGCTCGCCCTTTCAGCCGAGGAGGCGTTATAATGTGACGGTCAATCCCACTATTCGTTGGTAAAAGAGTAGCCCAAGAGTTGGCGGTGGGTGGTGATGACTAGCTGCCTTTCCTCTAGGTTATACTGCTAAATTAGGGGCGGCTGGCGCAGATAGCCCTCGTGTAGCTTTGCGCGAAGTTTCAAAACAAACAAACAAGCAATCCATATATCAATATATTAAATAAAGATATGAATACATTAACATAACTGTTATGAATACATTAACATAACTAATGTGAATGAATGTCAAAAGGTAGCATGTGTTTTTCTCCTGGACGTTTCAGTCACAAAACTACAACTGAAAGTGAATGTGATTTAAAACAAGTCTACGTACAACTCAGTGAGGTCAAAGTGATTTTCAGACCTACAATATCTGGAGTATTTACAGAAGGACGTCGTATCTGAAATTCTGTTTATAGCGAACTAGTAAATTTGTTAGCGACACCCATAA